GTGGAATCTTCCCGGACCAGGGCACGAACCCGCGTCCCCTGCACAGGCAAGCGGACTCTCAACCACTGCGCCACCAGAGAAGCCCTCTGTTTGGTTTTGATGAAGAGGTGTAAAGTAGTAGAGCAGAACTTTACTGTTTTATATATATATATATATATATATATATATATATATATATATATATCTGTGTACGTATAATGTCTTTCCTGAATTGGATTCCTGGCCAAAGACAATAAAAAGCGACTGACAATCTCTTCCACACAGAACACACGTCAAGTCTGCCCTTCTGCTAGCAGCTGCGCCCGCTATTTAAATAGTCTGTCATTGTTTGTGGTCCTGCTTTCTGGAGGCACAGCCAGCCCGAAGCTCTTGCTCACACAGCAAGCCCATCCTTTACAGCTGCGTGCCAGGCTGCTCGGTGGCCTCGCTGAGGAGGGGTGAACTGCAGGGACTCTGGAAACATTTCTTCTGCCTCCTCAGCTTGTGCTTTCCCACCTCAGCTTGCTATTTAGCGGTCACTGAGGAGTCCTGCTTGCAGTCCACATTGCACACACAGCCAGTTCAGTAAAGCTGCGCTGCGAGAATTATGTCAAAGCTCGTTCACAGGCTGCACTCCAGGTGTTTGCTGCTGCTGACCTTGTCCTGCCACTCAGTATTCTGACGGGCTCATAAACGGTCTGAAGGAAACTGCTCAAGAGGCCAGATGTGGCATTTGTGGCAAGTCCCACGCCTCACAGGAAGTGTGCCTGTGCTTTGCAGGTCTTCAGTTCCATCTCACCGCAGTTTGATAGTACATTCGAAACAGACTGTCAGCTTCCCAAAGGACACCCTTGACTCTGTTCTGTACTTCTTCCTCCATTAGGGCATCACTGCCCAATGGCATGCTTCAATTTAAGGACCCAGTGACAGCTTCCAGGCTGTAAAAAATAAGTCTCAGGGCTTCTTTTACTGGTCTCTTTTTAAAAAGACACTTTATTAGTAGGGTTGCACAGCATCGTCAGCCTCTGCCCCAATGGTCAAACACAGGCTGACACCTGCTAGCTTACAGCATTTCAAATACAGAGAATAACTGGAAATCTGCAGATAAAAGAGTAGCATGTCTACACTGAGCTCAGTTCTCCTACTGGAGGATATTTCCCCACAGGAATGGGAAGAAAGATGCCTTACCCTGTCATATGCAAATAAGCCTGACTTCCTCCAAAAGCCAATATTCCCTTTCTAAGCAATATTAAATATCAATATTATATGTAAATGTTCTTACAGCACTGCTTGTAATAGTAAACACCTGGAAACAACCCAAAGGTCCAGTATCAGAACAGATGCATAAATTATTATACATTCACATAATGGGATACTATATTCACGTGAACATGAATTACAGCCACATGCAATAATAATAGATCAATCTCAGGACCACAATGTTGAGTGAAAAAGTAAGTTCAAAGAACACATACAGTATGATTCTAAGCAAAACAAGATACTGTGTGGAGATTAAAATGTATGTGCTAAAAGTATAAAGAAAGGCAAAGGAATGATAAACCCCAAATCCAGGACAGTGGCTAACTCTGAAAGAGGAGGGGAGGGAACAGGATGCAGAGGAGCTCACAGGGGGCCTTCAATGTAACGCTAATGTTCTTTATCTTAAACTCCATGGTGGGTACATAGATCCTACTGTATTATAACTCCTTATTCCTTACATAAATTTTATTATTCATATTAGTTACTTGGTAGTTAATAAACTTTAAATATGATGAATATAACAATAGCACTAATTAAATTACTTGAGCACCTAAGAATAATTTCATTATAGGGTTGCTACAAAGTTTTTGGCATGTTCTAGAAACACACATGTGGTAGTGATGTGGGCTCAGAGTACACATCCTCAGTTGAACCTACTGTATTACTGCCTGGCAAATCTACATAAAAGATTGGGCAACAGAAACAGAACTGTCTGTCAGACAGCACCACGCATCCAGGGTTCCAGAAGTCAAAGGGGAAGAGACCTCTTCTGAAGATGCCTTCATTCCACACCATATTTAGAAACAGGGTCAAAGATACTATCACAATTTTCTCCAATTGCTATACAGGCACCTTCTTAAGATTCCCATCTATTCAGCTCTTTCTATTTCTTCCAGCTTTCTGTTTCATGATTATTCTAAATTCTTTGGTTATATCTGTTTGTTCATACATTGTTAGAATTCTAGTATAAGAAAAAGAAATTTGGAACAGGTCCTATATATGCCCAAGAACATAAATCAAATTACTGAAACTTCTGGAAAAGGAAGAAAAATAATCTTACTTTGCTATGACATTAATCTATATGAATTAAACAGGAAAACATACCTCTCCGTAGCTAATGAAAAAAAACACGAGTTCCAAGTAGGTCATACTGATATTTTTACTATAAGGACTTGGGGTCAATATATGAGACTTTGAGTCCAAGAGAAATTACTTGGTAAGAAATCAGGAGGCAAGAAAGCAAAGCTTAAACAGAAATTAGAGGACTTATTATTTGAAATTAACGATTAAGAATTTTTTTTTTAATATTTATTTGGCTGCCTCAGGTCTTAGTTGCGGCACGTGGGATCTTCATTGCCGCATCTTTTTAGTTGCAGCATGCAGGATCTTTAGTTGTGGCATGCGGGATCAAGTTCCCAGACCAGAGATTGAACCCGGGCCCCTTGCATTGGGAGTGCAGTGTCTTAGCTACTGGCCTGCCAGGGAAGTCCAATGATTAAGAATTTTAATGTCCACTCTCATCAAATATATGACTGCTATTTTTTCAAATCAGAAAATATATGTTTATCTAATAAGGACAGGAACTACACTGGCTGTTGACATAAAAACGTTGCAAACACGATTCCTCCCTTCACAGAGAAACAGCATGGTGATCCGGAGTTAGCATTAGATTTAGAATCC